AGCGAACTGAAAAGAAGCCTCATCTCTTCCGTGTATGACCTGGTGTTCCCCAAAGCACCAGAAAAGTCCAGCATAAGTTCGACTGGCCTCCAAAGTGGCGATTCAGGGAGTTTGGGTCTAGGTTTTATGTTATGGAAACTGAGAGGATAAAGGGCCCTGAATCCTCCATCTGCCCATTCCACTTCTGGGAAGGCTGAACTGTTACCTATTTATTTTCAAGAATAAAGAGTTCGGCCAGGTACAGTGGCTCACTCCTGTAATCCCAGCACTTTGGGAGGCCAAGGCAGGCAGATCATGTGAGGTTTGGAGTTCAAGACCAGCCTGGTCAACATGGTGAAACCCCGTCTACTAAAAATACAAAAATTAGTCGGATGTGGTGGCACGTACCTATAATCCCAGCTATTTGGGAGGCTGAGGTAGGAGAATCACTTGAACTCGGGAGGCGAAGGTTGCAGTGAGTCGAGATCATGCCATTGCACTCCAGCCTAGGCAGCAAGAGTGAAACTCCATCTCAAAAAAAAAAAAAAAAGGGGGGGGGGTCAGGTGCAGTGGCTCATGCCTGTAATCCCATCACTTTGGGAGGCCGAGGTGGGCAGATCATGAAGTCAAGAGATCAAGACCATCCTGGCCAACATGGTGAAACCCCGTCATACTAAAAATACAAAACTTAGCTGGGTGTGGTGGCGCACACCTGTAGTCCCAGCTACTTGGGAGGCTGAGGCAGGATAATCACTTGAACTCGGACGGCAGAGGTTGCAGTGAGCCGAGATCATGCCACTGCATTCCAGCCTGGCGACACAGTGAGACTCTGTCTCAAGAAAAAGTAAAACAAAAATGACAAAGGAAAAGTTCTAGAGAACAGATTTCAAAAACTTGTTTTCTATTATATTTATAGTGGTATTCACATGGGAAGATCAGTGCAGTGGCACAGTTTCATTATCCCAGTTACTCAGGGGGCTGAGGCAGGAGGATCACATGAACCCAGGAGTTCAAGACCAGCCTGAGCAAAATAGTGAGACCCCATCTCTAAAAATGAAATATAATCAAAAATTGAGATGACCCGATCTCCTCCCTTTCCAAAAAGTTGTTTTCTTGCTATTTCTCCAGGGTAGGTCAGGTTTTAAAAATTAATAATCTGGGGCAGTAGATGAAATTTCTGAAAATTATGTACAGGTTTCCTTTTTTATTTTTGGATGGGCCTTAGATATTAGAGGTGCTCTTTTTAAGTATCTACACAGCCTGGTAAATAAACACATTCGATTGGAAAGCAATACTTTCCATTTCTTATTCTATATCAGATATTTTACTTTTGCATTAACTTTCATTCTTGTAGGGAAAAAGAAATATTTCCAGTTTGAAATTCTTAAGATGGCACTGATAATAAGTAAATCTCTATAGATTTATGTGAAATACAGTTACAGTAAGTCACCCATTTACAAATGGATTATATTTGAAAATTTCATTTGAAGTAGGTTTGTTTTTTGGGGTTGGGGTGCTTTTTCCTTGGAAAAAATACTTAATTAAACTTTTTTTTTTTTTTTGAGTCAGTTTCACCCTTGCCACCCAGACTGGAGTGCAATGGCACGATCTCAGCTCACTGCAACCTCTGCCTCCCGGGTTCAAGCAATTCTCCTGCCTCAGCCTCCTGAGTAGCTGGGATTACAGGCACTTGCCAGCCACCATGCCTGGCTAATTTTTGTATTTTTAGTAGAGACAGGGTTTCACCACATTGGCTAGGATGGTCTCAAACTCCTGACCTCAGGTAATCCATCTGCCACAGCCTCCCAAAGTTCTGGGATTACAGGTGTGAGCCACCCCTCCCAGCTTAATTAAACTTTTAATTTTGAGATAATTATAGATTCAGATGTAGTTGTAAGAAATAATACAAAGTGATCATGCGGGCTTTTTACCCAGTTTCTCCAGTGATAACATCTCTCCAAGCTATACAATAGTATCACAACCAGGATATTGACACTGATATGGTCAATCCAATAGAAGAGTTCCAGAACAGGGGTCTCTCATGTGGCCCTGCTAAACCACCTCACCCTCATCCCTCACCTCTAACAACTCCCATCTCTTCTCCATTTCTATAACGTTGTCATCTGGGAAATGTTATATAAATGTACTTGTATAATATCTAACATTTTGGGATTGGCCTTCTGTCACTCAGCATAATTCCCTGGATTCTTATCCAGGTCGTGGCATGTACTAATAATTTTTTCCTTTTTATTGATGAGTAGTATTCCATGGTATGGACGTACCACAATGAGGATTGGGTAGAAGCTCATTGCTTTTGCCTAGGGGTGTCTAATTGCTCTAGCACTATTTGTTGAATGGCACAGAAATCAGTTTGGCATATTCATGTGGACCTGTCTCTGGGTTCTTCGGTCTGTTCCACTGATCTATGTTATGTGTCTGTCTTTTTGCCAGTGCTGCATTGTCTTGATTACTGCAGTTATCCAGTTGGCCTTAATATGGGATAGATTAATTGCTCTAACTTTTTTCTTCTTTTGAGACAGAGTCTCACTCTGTTGCCCAGGCTGGAGTGCAGTGGCACGATCTTGGCTCACTGCAACCTCTGTCTCCCGGGGTTGGGTTCAAGTGATTCTCCTGCCTTAGCCTCCCTAGTAGCTGAGATTACAGGCATGCACCACCACGCCCGGCTAATTTTTTTGTATTTTTAGTAGAGACAGTGTTTCGCCATGTTGGTTAGGCTGGTCTTGAACTCCTGACCTCAGGTGATCCACCCGCCTCAGCCTCCCAAAGTGCTGGATTACAGGCATGAGCCACCATGCCCGGCCTAACTTTTTTCTTCTTTTTCAAGATGGTTTTTAGCTATTCTAGGGCCTATACCTTTACATATAAATTTTAGAATATATGCCAAAAATCACTGTGAGGCCAGGTAGGGTGGCTCACACCTGTAATCCTAGCACTTCGGGAGGCCAAAGTGGGAGGACGGCTTAAGCCCAGGAGTTAGAGACAAGTCTGGGCAACCTAATGAGACCCCATCTTTATAAAAACTAAGAAATTAAAAAATTAGCCCAGTGTCGTGGTGCACAACTGTAGCCCCAGATATTCAGGAGACTGAGGCAGGAGGATTGCTTGAACTGGGGAGGTTGAGGCTGCAGTGAACCATGATTGCCCAACTCTACTCTAGCCTGGACAACAGAGCAAGACCATGTCTCAAAACAAAACAAAACCAAAAAAAACCTTGCAAGATTTTGATAGGAATTGTGTTAACCTGTAGATCAGTTGGGGAATAACTGACATCTTTTGTATGTTGATTTTTCTTCCGATTCATGATTATCATCACTGGAAAGAAGTGAGTGTGATGAGAGTTTTCTAAGTCAGGCAGATAGCAAAAAATTAGGAAAGTGTTTACATGGATTGCACAGGAAGAATTAACTGGGATTTAAATAGTCAAAGACAAAAAGGATATGTAAAAGAAGTGACAAAGGAGACTTACCCTATTCGACTCCAGTGCATTAATCTAGGACAGTTTGGTTGCTACAGGGAAGCAGTGCTTAAGAGGCATACAAAAGATCGATGTTTATTTTGTGGGAGTGAATCTTTTTTAGGAAGGAAATAGCACTATTGTGGTAACAGTGATTCATTTTCTCCTCTTATCTTCTCTTTACAGAGAAGACCCAGATAGTGAACTGTTTTATGTAAGTTTTTATATATTTTTGCCCTACTTTTCTCTAGGGAGGGGCTTAACATAGCTTACAAAAATACGTAAAACAACATCAAATAAACTTTAAAATGAGGAAAAAGCCAATATGGTCCAAGGGAAAAGAAGATCAGGGTCAGGACTGAGATTAGGATGCAGAAGCCATGCTATGAAATTTTGTTTGTTTGTCATCTTGAGATGGGTTAAAAAAAAAAAAAAAAGTTGGCTGGGACAATTGTTTTTTACCCCTAGCACTAAACAGTTGTGAAGCCAATGTTTAATTATTACACCTGTCATCTCTTCACCTGGCCTCAGGACTGTCCTCTTAGGGAGAGGCATTGTTCTGTAGGGTTAATTAGTAACAGGAATTTAGATACTGCTGAGAGAGGCCTCTGGTGCTGGCTGAAGCAGCTGGTGGTCTGAGAACCCTGACACCCAGAGGCATACCACTGGGAGGCCCCGCGTGGCACACAGCTTTTGCTGTACTCCAGCCCAAGTCTTATGGGGTTTGTGGACTATATTGAAGTTGGCGCAGACAATTAAGACTCTCTGTTCTTGGTACCGACAGGGAGAGAGACCTACAATTGTAAGTATTTTTGTAAACACGGTTGTGACATTTGAGTGTATTCAACATGTCAGTGGCCTTTTAATGTTTAAAAAAAATGCATATGACCATTTAAGAAGTGGTTGTGCTTCATAGTTAATATTTTTTTCATTAGTTTAGGTTTATCTGGTTTTCCAGTGAGGTAAGCTACCTGAGAGACATAGGAAAATAGATCTTGCCAGTTCAGAGGACTGACTTTGGCTTTAAGATAAAATACTTGTGTCATTTTCGGGAAAGTACTTCCAGCACAATGCTTTCTTCTGATGATTCATTTTCTACAGTTATTGGAAGTGGGAAGAAATCCACAGAGGTTACAGAATTTGTAAACTTGTAGAGACATGTGCCGTTATATCATGCTGTCTCATAGATGTGTACGTCTGTTAGTTACTTTTCGGGTATTCAGTGCATATATGTCTGTTGCTTACTTTTGGGGTGTTCAGTGTCTGAGCTTTATCAACGATTGTGTGCTGTATTTTCAGCCCAAAAAAACTAAGTTAGAGAAATGTTTGTTCATCCAAGTCTGTATTGTTGTAGCTTATTCAGTAGACTGCTGTTGTGTTTTTAATTTCTCTATAAAGCAAGCCAAAAGACAGTGTGGACAACCTAATTGCATTTGAAGTAGCTGCTGGCCAGGCCTGCTGCAACAGCTGATGGGCTCCTCTGAATTTCCAGAGCTATTTCTGGTAGATGAGCTGGTATCAAGGCTCTCGAGTTCAGGCCATAAAAGGCCCGTCCCATGTGAAGTTGCTTCACTGCTCTGACTGCGTCCTCCCCAGGCTGAAGTGTCCTCAGGTTTCACGTGGATTTGCCCAGTAATGGATGGCTTCACCGAGTCCAGGTTGGGGAAGTTCAGCCTCGAGGACACTAGGGGACGAAAAACTTCAAAAAGAAGACTCTTTTTATTAATATTTTGGCGTTCTTTTTGGAGAGGAACTTTTGGGATGTAGCCTTTACCTGTTTCCTAAATTTGACATCCAGAAAGCCTTTTGGAAAACACCATTCTAAATTTATCCTGTTCTGAATCATCATTGCTTCTGATAGATGCAGTTGCTTGTTGACATCGTGATCTTTGATTTTGTACAACGCTATTCGGGCTAACGTTTGGGATTTTACTTTGTGCTTAGAATTTGAAAGTAGTATTCATTGGAAAGAGACTCCAAGAAAATACTCGAAGACACCCAAAGCTGGATTCGAGGATATAACGTGTTTTGTTTTGTTTTTTAAATTAGAAAAATAAGGAATTGCAGTGTGATTTTCTTTCCTCCTTTAACTTAGAGGAACGAGGATTATACAGAAATTTGAAGTAAGTGAAAAATCTTCCTATAAATCTAAATGCAGTAGGTTTTTTTTTTTTTTAAGTACCATCTGTCTGAACATGTTTCCTGAGGATTTGTTGACTTCAATCATTGGAAAACTCCTGCCAGCATTTGCCAGTTACTGCAGCCATTCCTGTAGATACCCTTGGGCATATTTCTTGGGTTAGGAAGGATTGGACTTTTTTTTTCTTTGTTTAAAAAGGATTTACTTTATGGTAGAGAAAGGTTTATTACTAACCATTTGATTAATATAACTTAGTCAGTACATTCTGTCCAAATGTTAGCACTCGAAGTCTTGGAATTAAAGTATATTCACAATGCAAAGTACTTTAATAATCGTAGCACAAGTATGGGGGTGGAGTTCAGAAGGGCAAGTTTTATTTCACTGCCATTATAATTCGTGTAAAAATAGAAAATCACCAGTGATCCTTTTGCATAATCTTTGTTCTGAGGGTTCTTTGCCTTGGTACTGTCATTCTTCAGGGTTTGATTTATAGAACTTGTAATGTTCCAGAATTTATGAGAAAAACCTCACTGTAGGTTCTAGAGTTTGAACTGCATTTTATTTTTAAATTCTCCAAGAAAAAATACTGCATCAGCCTTTTAAAGCCCTGGAGATAGCTGTGGTCGCTTTGTAAGTTAGCTCAGTGATTTGCTTCTGTGAAAAATAGCAGTGAACTCCAGAACACTGAAGGCTTATTTGACATGTTGCTGCTTTGAAAAAAAAAAAAAAAAGATTATTTCTTTATACCATATCAGATGGACAAGTACGGGCAGTCATTATTTTCACCAGGTAGGAAAACAGAGTATTTATAGAGAAAAACCTCATCGGTGCAAGAGTTCTTCACCGGAGGTAGCGTGGCAACCCTAGGGGGCGTTTGAAAATGTATGGGGGTGTTTCAGGTTTTCTCAATAACTTACTGGCATTTGGGAGGATGTAGTTAAGAATTGTAAATGCCCAATTTACACGGTGTAGGGGACAGTCCCATACAGGATTACCCTGGCCAAACTGCTGGTGGTATCCCCTGTTGAGTAAAACTGCGGGATATAAACTGTACCCTCTGTCTCCAAAGAGGAGCAGCCAAGTGCCAGGCAGATATGTGTGCTGTCTCTTCTCACCAAACCCAGTGATGTCTTTTTTTTTTTTTTTTTTTGAGATGGAGTCTCGCACTGTCACCTAGGCTGGAGTGCAGTGGCGCGATCTCGGCTCACTGCAACCTCCGCCTCCCAGGTTCAAGTGACTCTCCTTGCCTCAGCCTCCCAAGTAACTGGGATTACAGGCACCTGGCACCACACCCGGCTAATTTTTTTTTGTATTTTTAGTACAGATGGGGTTTCACTATGTTGGCCAGGCTGGTCTCAAACTCCTGACCTCGTGATCCACCCACTTTGGCCTCCCAAAATGCTGGGATTATAGGCTTGAGCCCCTGCGCTGGCACCCGGTGATGTCTTGAGGATCCAGGGCGTCAAGTGCACACTAGTAGCGTCAGCAAATGTGTCTTACAATGGAAACTTTGGAGTCTATACTCTGTGTGCGTTGTGTGTGTGTGTGAGTGTGTATTAAAGATGATTTATTTGGTCACCTTGATCACTGGATGAGGCTGATGCTATACAAGCTATTGTAGTACATTAGGTGCCTTCCTGCCTACCTTTATGTTAGTACTATTGGTGCATTTAATTTTGCCACGTGCATAGTCTTCAAAGTGAAATTTGGTTAATGCACCCACCTTGCAGTGGACATCAGCCATTCAACAAACATTTCTTTATCTTTGCTTCTACTTTGGAGATAGACAGTTTTGTGGTTAACAGACTTCTGGAAGACTTCAGAGTTCAATTCTGAGTGAACATCTTTGGCAACACCTGGGGTTATACAGTATTCTTTTTTTTTTTTTTTTTTTTGAGATAGAGTCTCTCTGTGTTGCCCAGGCTGGAGTGCTGTGACACAATCTTAGCTCACTGCAACCTCCGCCTCCCGGGCTCAAGTGATTCTCCTGCCTCAGCCTCCCAACTAGCTGGGATTACAGGCATGCGCCACTGCACCCAGCTAATTTTTGTACTTTTAGTAGAGACAGGGTTTCATCATGTTGCCCAGGCTGGTCTTGAACTCCTGACCTCAGGTGATCTACCCACATTCGGCCTCCCAAAGTTCTGGGATTACAGGCATGAGCCACCATACCCGGCAAGTTATTTAATACTCTACAGTTGAGGAATTGTATCCAAAGGAAAGGGCCCTTGGATTTTATAAGGATGTCTGGTGAGCTCCAGCATGCAGGGCTCTTGGACTACGTGGAGTGTTATGGAGAGTAAGCTGCTAGAAGCTTTGTGATTGTTAGGATACAAAGGCAGCCTTGGAGTCATCTCCTGAATCTGCAGCTGCCTGGGGTTTTAGGACACTCACTGCAATTTTATGTTAAAGCGCTGATCTCAGGGTGCCTCGCTGTGACCTGGAGTATCTGTAGATCTAGAACTTTCCAGCAGTTCTGGGCTTCATTGATTTGTGACGACTCAACTAGGAATCTTGTGGTCACCCTTGACTCCTCTCCCTTTAGGTCCCTGAGGCCTCTGCCCCACCACCTCCTCTTGAGCCTTGCCATCTTTTTTCTTTCTTTTTTTTTTTTTTTTTTTTTTTTGAGACGGAGTCTCACTCTGTCAACCAAGCTGGAGTACAATGGCGCGATCTTGGCGCACTGCAACCTCTGCCTCGTGGGTTCAAGGGATTCTCCTGCCTCAGCCTCCTGAGTAGCTGGGATTACAGGTGCCTGCCACCACACCTGGCTAATTTTTGTATATTTAGTAAAGACGGGGTTTCACCATGTTGGTCAGGCTGGTCTTGAAATCCTGACCTCGTGATCCGCCCACTTCGGCCTCCCAAAGTGCTGGGATTGCAGGTGTGAGCCACCGTGCCTGGCCGAGCCTCACCATCTCTTAACTGGGCTACTGCTTTGCCCTTAATGGATCCCTTGGCCCCCGGGTTTCCTCCTCTGTCTGGTCCAGCCACAGAATGACCTTCCTAAACAAAGATCTCGTCTTCCTCACTGCTTACATGCAAAAGCCTGGGCTCCGTAGCCTCCCCTTCAGGGTCTTTCATGCCCCTGGAGTTTTGTTGGCAAGTCTCCCCAAAATGTTGTCTTTCCTTGCCTGCCAGGGAAGCAATATCAAAGGAGATGTGCCAGAAGTTTCCTCTGACATGCCTCTGGCCTCCTGGGCGTCGACTCCAGCCTGTACTCTAGGGCTGCTGTCACTAGGTCCTGGTGGCCCTTTCCGCGGCAGCGGGGTACCCAGCGAGGTGCTTGGGTCTCACTTCTCTTTCCACCCCCAAGGTCTAGCCCAGTGGGCACTCCAGAAATCCGAGTTGTTTGAATGGATTTAATTGTAACGACTTGTGGGTTCTTCATATCACAATTTGGTTGTGATCCATCCAGTACTTTTGCCCTCATCCTATATTACTCACAGGAGAAGCTGGTATTCTGTATTATAAGTTCTCTTTTTTTTTTTTTTTCTCATCTATAACAATGCAAGCAGAAAGGTTCGTGTTTCAGTAACAAGTCCAATGGGATTTCTGTATATGGGGTTTTTGTACACATGCTTTTGCCAACCCAGGAAATTAAGGTGTGCCGCATGAAGTCAGTCACTTCATTATTGGAACTTTGCCTAAAATGGAGAAATTCATCTAGTGGTGCAATTTGACCTAAGTGTTTTACTCCAACATTCAGCTTCATCTTGGGTGACACATCTCAGGAGCAGTTTGCACTGTTGATCTCGGGAGCACTTTGCTATTGCTTCAGAGAGATCTCTGTCCCTCTTAGAGACACTCCCTATTGTAGGAGGTTTTGAAAGAGGCATTCTTTTTCCTCCTCATGTGCTTTTCCGCTTCTGAAAGTTGATCCTTTAATCCTGAACAAGTTTATAACCTGTGTCTAACTGGTTTTTGTGTAAATACAGTAAAAGAAATAGTTTTCATATTTGCTTTGGGATCATTGGTCTGCCCATGTCGCAGCCCTGGGTATATTCATTTCAGTCCATATTTTTCGGGGACTTTCCCTGTGCAGAGCTCCGGGTTGGATCCTGTGGGATGCAAGCCTATAGCGTATTCCCTGTCCTTGGCAATCTCTTGCCCAGAGTGATCTGGACAGGGACATAATGGAGCTATTTTACCAGTCAGAGTGGAAGGGATGAACAATAATAACATGCCGTCTATTATCACTGTGTGCCAGGCTTAATGCCAAGCTCTTTACCTCTACAATATATCATTTAATTATTTTTATTTTTTGAGACAGTCTTGCCCTGTCACCCAGGTTGGAGTGCAATGGCACGACCATGGTTCACTGTAGCCTGAAATTCCTGGGCTCAAAGCAATCCTCCTTCCTCAGCCTCCTGAGTAGCTGGGACTATAGGCACTCACTACTATGCCCAGCTAATTAAAAAAAAAAAAAAATTGTAGAGGCAGGGGTCTCACTATGTTTCTTAAGCTGGTCTTGAGCTCCTGGCCTCAAGGTATCCTCCCATTAAGGCCCCTTAAATAACTGGGATTACAGGTGTGAGCCACCACGCCTGGACTCTAATTATTACAGTAGCCCCCAAGAAATATTAGTGCAATTGTCTTCATTCTGCTGAGGAAAAAACTGAGGGTTAGAAATGCTTGCCCAAGCTTGGGCACATACCATGAAGTCAGGGGAGAGCTGGATTTGAACCCAGGTCTAGTTGACTTTGGTGCCCGTATTCATAACCACTGCTTTAGCCAGTGCAGCCCAAACTTGAATAGGAATCACCTGCAGTGTTGTTACTGCAGCGTCTGATTCAGTAGGTCTGCACTGGACTTAGAGAGGCAACAAACAGGATCCAGGTGATGCTGATTCCTCTGTCTGAGGACCTGCTTTGAGCTGCCTTAGGTTAAGTCTTTGCCACATGCCTGAGACGGAAGCAACCAGCTGGGGTGTGGGACTCGAAGGGGGCTTCTGAGGAGGAGAAGGAGTCTTTCAAGGCTTCT